AACATTTCAGAGAAAGTACCCCAACATTTCAGAAATTACTCCAACATTTCAGAAAAAGTACCCCAACATTTCAGAGAAAGTACCCCCAACATTTCCTCAGCGAAAACACACGGAAAGTTGTTCTTCTTGGCCAGGATCCCCAAGAGTCATCCTGGCCCGTCTTCCTTCTCTCCCCTTTTCCTCCGCCACACTGAGCCCCCAAGCCCTTCTCTACCTCCCTGCTCATCTCTGCAAGCCCTTCCCTGCTCATCCGTCTCCCCTCCTGTTCTCCTGTCCCACCTCTCCCTTCTACCGTGGTTGAGGCCCCCTGCATCCCACTGTGTCCACTGAGTTCTCCAAACAGACTTTTCCTGCCTCTCTTCCTCTCTCCTCCTGCCTGTCCCACAAACGGGAGCTGGATTCACCTTCTAAGAGTGCCACCTTGCCCGATGCTTGCCAAGGACCAAATATCAGTGCTGCAAAATATGAGCCCTTTAGAATTCAGTCGGGCTATGTGTCCATTTATTCATTCAATCAACAGCTACTGAACGTCCACCAGCCTCTGTAGATACAACGGGAAACAGTCAGGGGTCTCTGTTCTCACGTGGCTTAGAATCTGGTGGGAAAGACATCTAAAAAACAAACAAGTAAAGATTCGGCCCTAGACTGGGACACGGGGTCCAGCAGATCCTTTATAAAACACCTGCAGTGGCCCAGGCCTTTCCCAGTCTTTCCCACAGCCATGAGATCGCTCGGTCTTCTCCGCATGCCGGAGCACCAGCTTCCTCATCTTCTAAGGTCTCTGGTCTTCAGTTCTTTCCTTACCTGCTGCCCCAAATTCCCTCTTTCCCCGAGGCATCATGGCCACAGAAGGGGAGTGAGACAGCCAGAGAGAAAGGGTGGTGGTGAGGGATTGTTTGGAAGATACCGTAACAGTGGTAGGTTTGAAGACAGAGGATGGGGCCATGAGCTAAGGAATGCAGGGAGCCTTTGGAAGCTAGAAACAGCAGGGAAAATGAATCCGCTGCCCTAGAGCAGGGGCGCTCGATCTTCCTGGGGCCACACTGGAAGAATTGTCTTGGGCCACACATAAAACACAGTAACACTAACAACAGCTGATGAGCTCAAAGAAAAAAAATATAATGTTTTAAGAGTTTACAAATTTGTGTCGGGCCACATTCAAAGCAGGTGGCCCGTGGGACGAGGTTGGACAAGCTTGCCTGAGAGCTTCCAGAAACAGTGCTGCCCTGGAGATTCCTTTGTATTTTACTGATTGATTGATTGATTGATTGATTGATGGAGATGGAGTTTCGCTCTGTCACCCAGGCTGGAGTACCGTGGTGTGACCTCGGCTCACTGCAGCCTCCCCCTCCCAGGTTCAAGTGATTCTCCCATCTCAGCCTCCTGAATAGCTGGGATTATAGGCACCTGACATCGTGCCCACTAAGTTTTATATTTTTAGTAGAGATGGGGTTTCACCATGTTGGCCAGGCTGGTCTCAAACTCCTGACCTCAGGTGATCTGCCAACCTTGGCTTCCCAAAGTGCTGGGATTACAAGAGAATAAATTTGTGTCTTTTTAAGCCCTTAAGTTTGCGGCGATTTGTTTCAGCAGCGTGAGAAAAGCAGGGCAGACCCCAAGCTTTAGAAAGGGCCACTAGTTACATGTGGAGGCTTCGCAAGTACCAGGAAGGGTGCTCAGCACTCAGTCTTCCTGGTTCAACTCAGTGGAGTCTGACAGTCTGGCAGGTGATACTGTCTTCCTGAGGCACAGCGAGAGTCGCACTGCAGTGGCCTGCATGGCCGCCAGCACACAAACCCCTGAGGGACAAGACTGGAGCCTGGACCGGCTCCCAGCCCAACCCCTCTAGATCAGACCCTTGGGGGTCCTTCCTGTGGCTTCCCAGCCTTGACAAATGGGAATGCATCCCCGTGCTGGGGGCTAGCACCCCATTCCTGTTCCCTGCCCACCAAGGGTGTGCCTGAGGGTTTAGCAAACACCCTCTAAAGGAAGTCACTTGGGGCACACGGAGCTTAACTGTAGCGCTGGTCACACTAAGACGGGGAAGGACCGTCCCCTCCCCTGGCGCAAGCATGGACCCCGCAGACCTGTAATCGCCCATTTCTGCAAGATCCTGTCCTCAGCACTCCCATCCACAATCCAGTCATGAAAGGCTGGCTCTGATGGGAAGCCCTCTCAGGAAGACCCTCCCACAAAAGGCAACAGAGTCAGCCCCGGCGTCCCCACTCTGGGCCCTGTCCACTCTGCAGTTTCGGCTGGGATGGGAGTAAAGGCGCTGGAGAGCTTCCAGATGGGAAATTAGCGGCGGCACGCTTGGCTAATGGGAGGCCCATTGCTCAGTTACTGCCAAAGAAAGGCCTCTTCTATCTCCCGTCTCTTCTCTGTTCACCCCAGACTCCATCATTCCTAACTCGGAACCATCAGGAAATTCAGGAGTGTTTCTGCAATCCCTGTGGGGGACTTTTATCTCATCAAACACCAGGGCTCACCATTCACTCGTCCATTCCCGATGGGTGCCAGGCCTGGGAATACGAAGGTGAAAGAGATGGCCTGTGCCCCCAGGAGCGCTTCACAGGTGCCCATGCACCCAGACTCCTCCGGGGCAAGTTCTCTGGAGAGTTCCAGGCCCCACTCCCTGCCACCCTCCAGCCCCGGGAAGCTGCCTGTCCTCACTTCCTCCCAGCCAGGACTTACGAAATCCCACCGTGGTGGGTTCGTTTGTCCTCGGCGTCCTGCACAGTCTGCTAGGCTGACGGCTGGCAGCTTGAAGCCGCCAACCAAAGACGTCAGGCCACTCTGGGAGGGACAGTGTCTAGAGGTAAGCTGCAGCCAGCTCAGGCCTGGTCCTCCTCAGAGCTGAGAGGCTAACGAAAGCCTCCAAATGCCTGGTTCCAGGATAAGCAAAGACACAATCTCCCCAGGAGCGCTGATCTCCAAGACAAGCAAGGCGGACTCCCTGACTGTGACTCCAAGCTACGGGGCACGAGGCAAGGGCCTGAGACGTCACAGACAGCAGAAGTCAGGCCATGTGCCGAGGCTGGCTGCCAGGAGTACCCAGCAGGATCTGCCAGAGTGGATGCCACTGGGCCTGGGGGGGTATGCCCATGCCCGGGGCTTCTGCCCACACCTAGCATCAGCCTCAGGACAACTGGCCCATCTGAGTGGATGCCACTGGGCCTGGTGGGGGGGGTGTGCCCATGCCCGGGGCTTCTACCCACACCTAGCATCAGCCTCAGGACAACTGGCCCATCTGAGTGGATGCCACTGGGCCTGGTGGGGAGGGGTGTGTGCCCACACCTGGGTCTTCTGCCCACACCTAGAATCAGCCTCAAGACAACTGGCCCATCTGAGTGGATGCCACTGGGCCTGGGAGGGGGTGTGCCCACACCTGGGTCTTCCGCCCACACCTAGCATCAGCCTCAAGACAACTGGCCCATCTGAGTGGATGCCACTGGGCCTGGGGGGGTGTGCCCATGCCT